ACCTCTAGTAATATATTTACTGAGAAAAATGGTGACGTGTTCAATACTTATTTTACCCACTGTATATAGCACCTTTCATAGACATAAAATCACAAAGTGTTTCACAGAAAATAGAATAAAAACAAGAAAGTAAAATAGTAAATTAAAACATCACCACAGCATTACATTCACACAAGAATACAAGTAGTAATAGAAAAAAAATTACTTAGCTAAAAGCCTGTTTGTAAAAGAAAGTTTTCATTTGTTTTTTAAAAGCATCAGTAGAATCAAGGCTGCGTATGAGCCGAGGTGCAACTGCTTGGAAAGCCCGATCCCCTCTGGATTTAAAATGTGTGTGGGGTACCAACAACAACAACTGACCTGATGRCCTCAAACCGYGAGATGGTGTGTGAAGCTGGAGCAAATCTGAGATATATGATGGGGCTTGACCATGTAAGGCTCTAATAGTTAAAACCAGAATTTTAAAATGAATTCTAAAATGAACTGGGAGCCAGTGAAGAGAAGCCAAAACAGGTGTGATGTGATCATGTTTGTTTATGTTAGTTAACAGTCGAGCAGCCGAGTTCTGGACAACCTGAAGACGGTCTAACTCCTTGTTTAAACAAGTGAATAGGCTGTTACAATAGTCCAAACGAGAAGAAATAAATGCATGAATGACCAYTTCAAGTTCAGCTTTTGACAGGAAACGTTTCAATTTTGAGATCATGTTCCTAAGATGAAAGTAACAGTTTCTGGTCAGTTGCTTTGCATGTTGTTTCAGAGACATTGCACAATCAAAAATGACACCCAAGTTTCTGAGGCTGGAYTGAACAGATGGACCTAAGACACCAATAAACGGTTCAATCTGAGCAACCTTATTTTCCGGCGCTATAATCAGTGTTTCGGTTTTATCAGAGTTAAGTTGGAGATAGTTGTTGCTTAACCACTGTTTGATGCTAGCTAAACAATTAGCTGTTGGAGTCAAAAATTATRAAGATGGCCACCAMAGCAAATTGAAAATTGTCTGAAATTGTCAAATTTCTACATCGACTTTCCATCACTGGTTTAAAAAAAATAGTCTGAGGTATGTACTGAGGTTAGCTAATGCTACTTTTGCTGCAAGTGTCAAGATGTCTACATGCTCACTGTATAAAACTAACTCTGATGCATCCAGGACATACTGTCCTAGATGACTACACCAGAATCTACACCAGTATATTTGATMCATATATTTTTAGCAGTACATTCAGACATATCAGTTTAGGGATTCYGGCAGTAATCCAAATCATGAATTCCCTCACAAAGCAATCCTGATTATACATGATTGTGGTGAGGTGACAGGTCAGTTTCACTGATAATGATGTTGCCYGTGGTGTAAATCAACAATTTAATTAAAGAACATGTAAAAACATGAAAGTGCAGCTATCAGYAGCAATGTGAAGAACTTACCTGTTAATGACTACCAGCCTATCCAAACCATTTTATGATCAGATTAGTAGACTTTGTGAGTTCCACTCAAAATGTATTTGGTGGAAGTGGTCTTAATAAAAAATAAGATCTAATGTGGAGCATTTACTGTCCTAAACATTTGTGGAGTCAAACCATGGACAACTTACTGTGTTCTATCTTATGGATGGACAGAAGGACACAATCAAAGGAACAAAGAGTTTGACATTTCTATTTTACATGGTTGCAGATTTAGAGCACGMCTGTGACCTTAAAATCAATAGGGCTCATCCTTGACCCAGGAGGTGTCCAACTGTGCAATTTTTTTAAACAATAATCCTATTGTGTTTTAGAAACAAGACAAATAGCAACAATTCAGCACAGAAGGGAAAAATAAACATCAGCAAGAAAAACAAGTCCATCCATGAGTTATAGATGTACACATCTGGGGGAAAACAAATTATATACATTCTAAGTGAAAAAACGGTCAAACATAAATAATGTTTAAAGACAAAATGTGATCCATCTGTCTGTAAGAGCTCTGCAAGCTCGACAGGCAAGTAATCGAGCAGAGGCAGAAAGCRTTACAACTACCCTTCATAATAAGACTGAGGCACTCCAGTGGAAACTCTCTATACTAAAAAACAGAGTAATATATTATATGCTGTTACTTTAAGTGTCAGGAGGACTGTGATCAGTCATACATTAGGGAAACAAAACAGCCACTGTTCAAAAGAATGAGCTAGCACAGACGAGCTACTTCGTCGGGTCAGGACTCTGCAGTTTACAATCATCTACAGGCCAGCGGTCACTCTTTCAGGAATAAAGATGTTCTCATCCTTGATAGAGAGGAACACTGGTTTGAGAGAGGAGTAAAAGAAGCCATCTTTATGAAGAAAAACCGTCCACCATTAAACAGAGGTGAAGGCCTTGGTGTCCAGTTGTCCTCCGCCTACAAAGCTGTTATTGCAAGTATGACTCCACTCCCTGTGAGCAAAAGGTGTGAATCAGGGCCCCAATGATAATCAACACAAAGGGGGGAAAAAGACATAAACAAGGGGACGCCGAGCCCCGCTTGCACTCATTACATACACATAACACGACACCTAAGAACNAATAAATAGCATTGAATAAAATTGAATATGCTAAAGCTAACTTTATGTTCACTTACCACCATATTAAATATCCATAACTGAGTTATAATCTTTATTATTTTATTAAACAGTAAAAAATACATGTGTAAAAACAGTTTAAACATTGAAAACAAAAGTAGCCAAGCTCAAAAACAGCGGCTGAGACCAGTGTTCCTTCTGAGCTTGTTTTTTAATTTTTAAATTATTAAGGTAGTATTTAAATATTGGGAGTCAAACTAAAAAAGTGGTGGACTTACCTCCTTGTAAACTTGTTTTTTTAAAGGCTTTGAGCTTTTTGTTTTCTCACATATTTGACTATGCAGACAATTCCCTTTTAAATTGGGTTTTATATTTAAATGTACCTTACATTTAGGTTTGTTTCTTTTATAAGGCAACAAGGTCCTGACTTGTTTCAAAAAMGGAAAATGTTGGGAGTAAAATAATGAAGTTTTATTCCACATTCTYGATCATGATGCCAAAATCATTCCTGAATTAAAATAAGCGAGGACCATTTTTTTAMACTAGTTATTCTGCTTCCTTTTTAAACAACCCTGTGTAAATGGATCAGCATGTTTTACATTAGGTTAGATGTCATTACAGTCAAAATGGATAGATAAAGCTGACTTTTAAAATTATTTATAGACTGCTGTGTTTTTTATTTACCTTGCACACAGAGTCATAAATGGATTGAACCAGTTTATTTTGTGTTGTTTAGATTCAGGGGATAGTTGGTTGTGAAAGTTACACAATTCACTCCAATTTACCTTTTGTATCAAGTGTTAAAAACTGAAATGATGGATATTGTATTAATGCTTCTAAATGTACGAACAAAGATTTATTTGTAATATTTATGGTGCAGAAAAGCGGACCAGTGCATATATCACTTCTAAGCTGGAATTTTATGATTCTTTATCATCTGGGTGTTTAAAAACTTTGTTAAAAAGTGTCCTGATGCATCTCAGTTATCCAGGTAAAAAAATCAAAAAGAAAAAAATTGTATAGGTCTTCTGGACGGGTTCTTCTCTAATGAAACGTTTCGTCTCTCCTCCAAGAGACTTCTTCAGTCTGAGAGTTTCAGSCAAAATTCAGGCTTTTAAGCCCTGCCTCCATGTGACTGATACTCACATCACATGGCTATCGTTGACACCTAATTAACACCTATTATTAACAGGGGGTGGAGTGATACTGGCAATAGCCGCACTGTAGGAGGGGGACAACTGAAAACGGAGTTATACATACAGTTATACATCGGGGAAACAAAGCAGCCACTGTTCAAAAGAATGTCCCAACACAGACGAGCTACATCTAATGGCCAGAACTCTGCAGTTTTCACTCATTTACAGGCCAGCGGTCACTCTTTCAGAGATGAGGATGTTCTCATTCTTGATAGAGAGGAACGTTGGTTTGAGAGAGGAGTAAAAGAAGCCATTTTTGTGAAGAAAGACCGTCCATCATTAAACAGAGGTGGAGGCCTCCGCTTTCAGCTGTCCCCCTCCTACAGTGCTGCTATTGCCAGTATCACTCCACCCCTGTTAACAATAAGTGTTAATTAGGTGTCAACGATAGCCATGTGATGTGAGTATCAGTCACATGGAGGCAGGGCTTAAAAGCCAGAATTTTGCCTGAAACTCTCAGACTGAAGAAGTCTCTTGGAGGAGAGACGAAACGTTTCATTAGAGAAGAACCCGTCCAGAAGACCTAYACAATTTTTTTCTTTTTGTTAAAAAGTCTTCAGTTGATCCAAAACACTGCTGCCAGAATTCAGATGAGAGTAAACAGGAGAAATCGTATTTCTCCAGCTGTACCTACTTTCCACTGGTTCCCTATCAAATTCAGAATAGAATTTAGAAATCTTACTTTTAACAGACTATTTTTAACAACATTTATAATTTGGTGTCTAGTCAGACCTACAACCTCATGTTTAGATCGAACTTTAAATTGGGCACCACAGCAGAGACTGGATGCCCGCTGCTGAGAGGAAACACTGTCAGTGACCATAGTCCAACACTCAAAAACACACCAAGATGAGCCTGCACAGAAACACAACTGCAGCAACACTTACGGTACAGAAGCCACGAAGGCAGCACGACACGATCACGTGCCAAGAAGCCGTCTATCTACTGTTCACAGCACGATACACTCACAGGGACACAGAGAAGGAAGGGTTGTGTTCAACAGACCTGCTGCACAGAGCCTGTGGGCGAGCGCACCTGAGCGTGGGCATTTTGTGGATCTTGTTGAACATTCGGTCCAGCCTCTTGAGGATGAGGATGAGGGCGGGCCGGACGGCCTCGGATGACCAGTCGGTGATGGGGAGCATCTCCATGATGTAGCGCCGCAGGCCTCGGCTCTCCATGGTCAGGGTGTCGTAAGGTGCCAGCTTGAGGAGGGCGTGGGCAATTTCTGCTAACCTGTGGGGATTAAAAAAAAACTGATGCATGTTTCATTCAACATAAGAAATTTAGAATTTTTTTCTTTTGCTTTTTTTTCTTTTAAACTTTAATCATATACCCTACAATGTAAGGGTTTTTTGTATCACAACATCATCTTACTTTCTTCTTAGCAGAGTAGTGTTTTTTGCTAATTTTGGAAATCTTTAGCAAACAATTAGCTTCTGTTAAATTTATTTCTGCTTACTATCCTCTCATGCCGCACTGCACGCTGTGTGTGAGTAGCATCTGCAACAATTTGTGTGTCCACCAGTTTTTTAGTTTACATCATTTAGTGCAAWTTGTTCACTTGTTGATTCAGCTGCCTGTGGTTCTAACCATGTTTAGTGAATGTAGATATGCTGTTTTTTAAATKAAATTTTAGCCAAGATTCTGATATTTCTCTGGATACCATACACATCTATGTTTAAATGACAGAGCAGATGAGTGGTTAGAAGTTAGCGTTAGCTTCTGCTAATTTTTGTACCTGTTGATTGGTTTAGCATTAGTAAAGTAAAATTTTTAGTTAGCAGATTGATAATTAGTGAAGCTAACTGTTTGGTTAGCTATGCTCACCACAGTTAATTAGTTCTCTGCTTGACCTCATTAGTCCTCACATAGTTGTGCWGTGGTTTTGGTCCAATCTTCTCTGCACTGTTGTTTCAGTGCATTGAGGTTTGCAGACATTGGTTTTCTGCACAGCTTTCTTAATGTCCCACTACAGCATTTCAGTCAGAGATCTGGRCTTTTCTGGATCTGGATACTTATTCTTTTTCAGGCGCTCTGCTGTAGAGTTCCTGTTGTGTTTAGGAACAGTGTCTTGTTGCTTCATGTCCTACATGGATTCWAACTTTAGCTGTTGGACAAATGGCCTTACATTTGACCATAGAATCCAAATGACAGAGATAATCAGGTTCTTTAGCTGCCWCCACTGTGGTTGACAGCTGATTTAGTGAAAATAGCTRYACAGGGTTTCCYCCAGTGTAATATAGGCCTGCTAAAATAAAAATGAAAAACTTTACCCCTCGTTGTCTGGGGGAAACCTTGCTGAATACGTAAACTCTTGGAATTGAAAGGGGTGTATCTTCTTGAAACTCTAATTTCATCAATATAGTTTGTATAAAAAGTTCTGAGAGAACATCATCTCATCACCTCATGTGGGATTTGATGTCCAGAAGCTCAAGGGCCGTGACCCGAGGCTCCCCGGCGACGTTCTGCAGGATTTTGAGTCGGGGTCCGCAGTGTTTGTAAAACTCCGTGCAGATGTTCAACAGGGACTCCCGTGGTCGGCGGAACTCCTCTCTGGCGATTCGCTCGTCCATCTCCTCCCGCATCTTGCCCTGGCCCTCCTCCAGCAGGTGCATATTGTCCCTGTAAACACAGACCTGCTTTTAGTTTTGATTAAAATGCCCTCTTAAAGGGCTCAAAAGTTTGTATCATCATTGACCTTGTGTTGGCGCCTCCAGACATGGCATGGTTGGCTGTAGTGCCACCCTTGTGGCCCTGATCGCAGCGGGACAGCTGCGGTGCTGTCATGGGTCTGTGGAGGACGTGCAGATGTAAATCAAACCTTAATAGCATCTTATACACCAAAATAATCTCGACTTGTCAACACTGATGTGACACAAACCTTGTCAAGGTCTCAGAGCTGTAGAGCAGAGCTTGCAGAGACGTGGCCAGGGCGGCGATGGCGGCAATCTCGTCCCTGGCGGCGGACGCAGACTCCATCGTAACTGTGTTACTCTTGAGCTTTTGGAGGTGGCAGGGAACCAACGCTTCCAGCACATTCAGCATCTGGAGACTGGTGATTCACAGCATTGGTCACGGATTAGAAGTTTGAATGTTACTGAGAAGAAGTTTTCTTGTAGGTGTTTTCTCTCACCTCCTGAAGGATTCAGGAGCGTAGGCGAACACCGTTACACACAACTTGATGGCCTCGCTGATGGAAAAGGCCAAGTCTTCATTGCCATAACAAAAATCTGAAAGAATCAAACAGACATTTGGTTGTGAGTAACCTGCAGGAAATTCCAAGAACAACAAAAGTTCTCTTAGTTTAGGAGGGTTTATTTGATAAAAGATGAGCCGACAGAAAAAMGATCCTAATGATTAAAACTGGCATCAGTTTTTGATTTCTGGGCAACTTTCACAAGCTGTACATTTAAGTTTACCAAGAGAACGAAGAGGTTTTTCAGCCTTGACCAGCTCCAGAGCGTCCAGACCGTCCTGGGTTTCCCCCTCCAGAGAGACCAGCAGGTCAAACAGACACTGAGCTGACACGCCTTTAGACAAACCAGTGCTGGTGCTCGTCTGAAACGGTAAGTAAAAATAGAAAGTAATCAATTCATTTCGCAGCAGATATGAGTTTTTGTTAGCTTTTCTTTTGACTTCAAAGTCTTACGGTGAATTCCAGCAGTGGAGCCACACTGGCAAACAGCTGGAGGATGAAGGGCTTTCTGTGGAGGATGTAAAACTGTCGGCAGCAAAACTCGATGCCCTGTCGCAGCAAAGGATTGCTCTCATAGTCAGCATAGACCTGTCAGAGATATACAGAGACTACTTCATACATCAACACATACAGCTGAAAGACTTACTTAAACAGCTGTATTTTAAGTTTCACAGTGCTCAGACAGTCTTGCAGTCTAGCTCTCTTTCCCTGCAGAGAAAAGCACCTGAACAATTAACAACATTTAAACAAAATAAAGATCTCATTATCGTTTGCATATTTTGGCCACCACCACAGTACCCATTGATCCACAAGTCTGTCATTATTGTTTCCATCTTAACTCAATATTCTCGCAACTTTGGTAAAACCCGTGCCCCAAAAAAAACCCAAAGCTGAACTTTTTGTATTGGTCCAGCACTGTAACCTGATGGCTAAATCATATAAGGTGTTCAGGATGTAGTGTTGGTACCTGGAGCATGGTGGGAAGGATCCAYTGGTATCCACTCAGGGAGAAGAGGTGGTTGAAGTGGACGGCCGTGTTGATGGCAGTGGCGGTGTACTGCCTGAGGAGGGCGCTGTCCTCTGGATGCAGCAGCAACGCCCCGTTGAAGACGTTCTGGAACAGCATCATCTCGTCGCCCCACGGGTACTCACTGGGCATGCCCAGGAACATTTCYTCCAGCAGCTTGATCCAAAGCACCTTGTGGAGGGTGTCCAAACCGAACAGCTCCTTACCTGCAGGAGTGAAGACCAGACATGTCATCTCTCCTCAATCTTTTAAAGAGTCAATTCAAACTCTTGATGATTATTTAATGATTTGTTTCACCTTGAGGCTCRTTGAAAAGGGAAAATTCTGCATCAATGGCGGTTCGTGGGAAAGAGGGCAGACGAAGGAGGTCTTCCTGCAGCAGGGAGACGTGGGACTGCTTGTGCACAGCTGGAATGTGTTGAGTGAGGGAGATGAGAAAAAGGACACGTCCAACTTCCTCTAATTTACGAGAAAACACCTRGACAGGCAAAAATAAATAAGGTTTAATCATTATCAGATCCAGTTTGCTCTTTTGCAATGGGTTAATATAAGCAGAGTAATTTCTCATTAGTCAATCTGTCTTTACCTGTTTTTGAATGAGCTCTTGGCCTTTCTCAGGCAGCATGTGAACGAGGTTGAGCTGTGGGGAAACGGACCTCCGGAAAGGGTAGATGTCTCTTACATAAGTCTGAGGAACAGAAATAGCAACAAAGAGCTATAACTGCCCAAAGAACAAAGAAGAGCAAATCCAGGAACTCCCCTACTTCCTTTAAATCAGGATATTTCTTTGATCTGCATTTATACCAAGTAAAGCAACTATATTGACTGGTATATTCTGGAAAAACCTGTAATACAACCCCAATTCCRAAGATGTTGGGACATTTTATAAACCTTAAATAAAAACAGAACACAATGACTTGCAAATTCTTTTCAACCTAAATTCAAACACTACAAAGACATGATATTTAATTTTCAAACTGGAGCTACTGGTTTTGGTGAGCATGCTCRTGCCCGACATGGTGGGAACCATGTTATTCAAGCCTTGAAGTGTGCGCCATTCAGCGAAGAAAAGAACAGCAAGCTACTGACTGGCTTCAGAACCTCACCTGATCGGGTAGTAATTTGGGCCTATGTTACTGTTTTTCATCAGTGGACAAAACACATTAGTGCTAAAGGCAGGAATACAACAGACTCTGTTTTAACCAGTCGGAAACAACATTTAAGACTTCTGTTTAATATTCTTTTAGTCATTGGAAATATTGAACTTAATCCAGGTCCAGATAAAAATGTTTTTATGTCCACTTTTTTATATTTTATGGGATTTTATACATATGTTTTTAATAATTATCTTGACCTGGGTTTGTGTACAGGTGTAACTTATACAGTATAAACCCAATTCAATTACAGTCTACACAGGGATCTATATTATATCCTGAAAAGGTTAGACAACCTCCTGTTATGTCAAGTCTGAACACTACATCAGTAAGAAAGCAAA